CAACAATAGGAACATGGGGAAAACAATATGCATATCACCAAATCCATATTGGACAGCAAATAATCATCTTAAATACTGTGTGTCACATCTCCTCTTATTATGTGAATATATTTTGGACACTGTGTGATTCTACTGTTTGCAAATTCAGATTTGATTGTAGCTGATCTGGCACATAAAGTGTATAATTTTCTGCTTACTGAGACAGATAATTAAATTCCTAAATTCTAATCATTCCAGTGCCTCAGATATATATATTGATGGCACAATAGCAGGTAGAACAATGTGTGGGTAGGCCTCCTGCAATGCCAAAACTAGCTAGGCTGTTCTTTTTTAGGATGAGGTAAAAAAAAGGACACCCCTGCCACTGCTAAAAAAATCAGACTTTTATTAAACTTCCATTAGGCATCTTAAGGGAATGCTCAGAGGTAAGGGAATCCTAAGTGAAGAAGCAAACTGTAATACCACTGTATTACCACAGCCCTGGTGACATGCTGGAAGCTGGCTCCAGGCTTCCTCGCGGCACTGCTGATCAAAGGGAATCTCCCTCTGACCGGAAGCTTGGGTATCAGGGTAAGTATCAGAGTACTCGCCCAAATGCTCAGCATCGGCACCAATGGTGCATCCAGGGGCGTAACTAGAAATCACAGGGCCCCATAGCAAAATTTTGTATGCAACCCAGGCGACCTACACGGCATCAGAGGGATGCCCTGGCCGGGCCTCCCCCCCCCCCCCCCCCCCCCCCCCGCAGAGCCTTCAGTCCAAGCTGGAGCAGCAGCAGCACCAACATTTTCTCCTCACACCCTGACCTTCGCCATCTCATAGTCTGGCCCCTATGAGTCCCCTCAGTCTGGCCACTGCATGTCTACTCATTTTGGCCCCTGTATCTCCCCTCAGTCTGGCGCCTGTGTCTCCCCTCAGTCTGACCACTGTGTCTCCCCTCAGTCTGGCCCCTGTGTCTCCCCTCAGTCTGGCTACTGTGTCCCCTTCAGTCTGGTTCCTTAGTCTTCCCTCAGTCTGGCCCCTGAGCATGATAGAGCTCGGGGGCCAGACTGTATTTTTGGATGGCACAAAAAACTATGTTCAGCCCTGTCCCCATCAGTGCCGCTGTTAGAATGATCTCGGACAGACCGACCGGAA